TTGTTTATAATGATAAATTTGTTTCAAAATTACTTGTCCAAATGCCAATCAAATGTATTAAACATGTCTGCTTAAAATTGAAAATATTCGCTAATTTTGTCGAAACAAAACCCGTTTAGTTTCAAGAGCAAACTAAGCCGAATTATAATTTATCAGCTGTTTCCCAAAACTATCACCTTAAAGTCTCCTTGATGATAACTTCAAAGATTTTAACGTGCTGTCCATTTAGAGTTTTTGAAGGCTTCTTTACAAACAAAGCAAGTTATGGATTTTCAAATTTGATCGCAGATAGCATTTGAACGTCCTTCCTTACCTCTCCGATGCCAATGCGTTGTCCTATACACAAGGTTTTAAACGTATACGTATATGTTTAGCGACAAGTCGATGGAAAGTAGGTATATAATATTTACACAGAAAACACAAAGATCTGCTATGCGAAGGATAGCAGAAGAAATACAGATTCGATTCGAAGCCTGGACGAAGATAAACAAAATCATGCGAATATCGAATGATACGCAGCTGGTTCGCTTGCTGTTATTGGTTCATGTTATACATTAGCTGTCTTGTTAATTTCGATCCTTATTGGTAACATCTATCAGATCGGCGTTGTTATTGGCTGGCTATTGTGCTTTTTTTTTTTTATTGTATGCCTACATGCCTCGGGTTTTTACTTGAGACAATCAATCATGATTTTTATCAATTCACATTTGGCTCGGAACTATTTCCTCAAAGAGATTACCTGACTTAAATAGGCTTCTGAGTTCCAATTTTGGCCAGAAAGAATGACCCTACAAAGCTAGTCGGTTATAATGTTCAAGAGTTTTAAAGTGGAAGAAAAAGGCCAATAGTATTTCTAGTGTCGCTGAGCATGAATTGCCTGCGCAAGAGGTTTGAAAGTGGTTCACATATACCGTGACCGGTCCTGTCTTTGCCAGGTTTCCCACCGCAAATAACTAATACTGAATTTTTCCATGAGGAAACGGACTAAGAAGCAAAGACAATACACGAGATTTTTTTTTCACTGCTTTTTTCCTTTAGCGAATATTTAAAGAAATATCATCATCAAACTGTTTAACCCAACTACCTATGAGTTGTTTTAAATAGCTTTTCTTAATGGCCATTTTAAAATGAAATATGAATATTCTTATTTATAAAGTGATTCGCTTCAATTTCCGCTCTTTTTGTTTTGTTTTATTTTTTGTTTAGTAAAAGAAGATAGATTACCTACAGTAATTAATTCGAATCAATCAGAGGCTGAAAACTTGTCTAATGGGAATGAAAAAGGTTTGCAAATTCTGACAAAAGACAGTTATATCCCTGTATTTAATTCTGAGTGTAAACTAAGTTCAACAATAACATATTATTAAATTCTCCATTTTGGATATTGCAAATCTTGTGTTCTGATTGGACCACTCAATTCCCAATTATCAGTTCATATATCCCCACACCTTATGTGGAAACTAGACTCATAACTGCGTGAACTCGGGCTTCTTTGCTTAGGCATGTTTACAAAAGCACGTAATCTGATAAACAGTATTGTTCGATTTAATCTCTGCTTGTTATCTGAAAACGCTCGACATCTTTTAGTTTGGGTCTACTCCGAACAGTGTGTGCATTTGTATGCCGAATGAGCATGAGAGAAGACATATTTACCCTTGAATTACGGGGCTTCTTTCTGGCCATCATGATAACCATGTGCTTTGAAGCTTACCTGTGTATATACTTTATGATTAAATGCCGTATACTTGTTTTCTTACTTCGCAACAGAAAAAGCATACTCAGCGCATGCGCTTTGCTTGCTCGACTGCGCTTTGCGTCTCAAGACGGAAAATAACGAAGCCTAATTTATAACTTGGGCATTCCACAGGAAGTCCGAGTAAAAAAAAATCACCCTGGCGTTGCTAGGCTGGTTTCTTTTACTAAGACATCCATTCGTGATCAGTTGAAAATTAATTTAAGTGTTCTCTCACTTTTAAGGTTACGAAATGTTAACTTATGAGGTACAACCTACGTTGTCTATGTCACCGGACAAGTATAGTTCAAAGCACGAATGAAAACCGGATAAGATTCTACTTCCTAGAAAGGAGAACGTTTGAAAATATATGGAATAATTTTCATTAGAATGAGAATGTGAATATTAAATGTAGCTGGTTCATCAGCTGCTATTGATTATCTAGTTGTTAAACGCTAGGGTAGGTATGACCACCTACTAGGCTTTTCATTGCATACGTCCAAGAATCTCGAGTTTCTCTTTCACTTTCACTGGTAATGTTACTGACATGGCTAAAAAAAAAATAGCGTTCACTATCTTATATCGATAATATTGACAAATATTGTAAGTTCTTCCAAAACACTGGACGGAACTGCCCACGCAGGCCCAGTCTCCGCGTCTATAACTAACTTATGCATAGAAGAGTAGGAAGAAAAGTTGAGATTGAAAGGGCTTCAAGCCGAAATGAAACTTCTTAAAACTAAAAAATATAAAAACCGCACTGTTTCTGCTGCAATGTCAAGAAATGGCTTGAATCCCAGCTCAATTTGAAATACCTTAGAGGTTAACGAGGCTCCAATCG